TTTTTTTTTTTTTTTTTGGATACCAGATCCTATCCTTATAACCACTGGTATCATTTTATATCTCTCCCAAAAAGCATATACAAACAAACAACCACAACTTTTTTTTCCCCTCTCAGAAAGCTGAAGAAAGACTTGGAAATAGAACCCCTGTTCTTGTTACCTCCAAGCTCTGTTTTTATTTCCCTTATTTTAGACCCTGTCATCTGCACTGTAATATTTGAAAACCAAAAAAATCTTTCTAGAAGTATTACATCTCTTTCCAGACTCTCTAAGGGCCTGGGAGCATCTCATAGTGGCCAAGCCTCAGGGACAAGCCTGTGTAGGGTCCTACCAGGTTAAGATTGAGTGTCTATCCTCATGTTCGAACAGTATTTTGAGGAAACACTGTATCTGTCTAGGAAAATAACCAAGATGTATTTTCAAAAGTGGTTGTTTTTCTCTACTAAGTTGTTTTTCTGAAGGGTAAGCCAGTCTGATTTTTCTCTGAAGCAATGAACAAATTTGGAGGAGGAAAGAAATTCAGTAGAGTTTGGTTTAAATTGACCATAAGGACATTTCCTACTCCCCCTTTTTTTAGTTTTAGTTTTGAATTTTTCATATATTTTCAAGAAGGGGCCATGTTTAGCTCCTCAGCTGCACAATTCTTTCCTTTCTTTCTTGATAAATTAAAGATGCTTCATGGGGATTTTTAAATGTCAGATCCTATAACAGGCAAATGCTGTATTGCACACAGTTATTTTTTTAAAGGCAAAAGTTTGTAGCTTTTTCAGAAAGAGTTTAAAGTGTAAATACTGTTTTTTGTTCATTTTATGAACAAAAGCCCCTAGAGATGCTTCTGTTATGTCAAAATTGTGAAAATCTGCCCTTTGTGGATAAAGTTCTCTTGACGTTTCCTCAAGGGGTGAAGAGGGCAATGAGAAGTTATATGTCTGTAGGCATTTTTTTAAAAACAATCTATATCGAATGCATGTATCCAAATGTTACTGTAGCGTTGGAGAAGGGAGCACTATGGAAAAAAAATTTACCTGTTTGTAAATAGGAATCTGGCACCCACCCTCACTAAAGGTGCATTTTAATATTTCCCACATAACTGCCTCTGTTCTCCTTGGATATGAACTAATTTACCTTACCTAATACAAAGAAGCTTATCAACTATAAAGATAGACCCAGAGGATTTGGATTTCTTTGCTTTTTTTCCATCCTACTGTTAGACACTTATTACCAATTTTCCAATTAGCAGCATTGCAAAATTGCCAGATAGGACTTTCAGCTAAAAGAAAAATGGTGACTTTTGATTAGTTGTGCAGACAGAAAATGTCAAAAGAGAGAGAGATTAATAAAAGTTTAATGGGGTCAAAGATGTCAGTTACCAGATGGATAGTATGGCCTCTGCCTCAGGGGTCTTTATGAGCTACTTGTAAGATATAGGTTATCTCATCTTGTATCAATTAAAAACTCTGCCTAGCCATAAGGGCCTCTTGCCTTAGCACTGCCGTGAAGTAGAGAGCCACACAGGCCAAAGGGACTCTCCCCTGCATATTCATACTTCATTCCATTTTCATTAACTTTGATGACTGGCTTGCTGAATCCTGGTAAGACTTTTATCACTGTCTTGCTGTCCTCATTAGTTTTTGTAGGATGGAGGCCTAAAATTTAAAAAATAAAACTATTTTTTTGAGGTATGGCATGCATATAGTAAACTGCACAAACTTTAAGGGTGCATATCAATGCTTTTGTTTTTTAACATATGTGATTATATCAAGATATAGAACATTCCCAGCATCCCAGAAGGCTTTCTCATATCCCTTCCGAGTCAATAACCCCCTACCCAGAGGTAACCGCTTTGTTCACTTCTTTCCCATAGATTTGTGTGCCTGTTCTTGGATTTCATGTAAATGGAGTGATATGATAGCTAATTTCATGCATCTGGTTTATTTCAACATTCTTGTACCTGTATCTTGGTGGATATTTGTACACCCTTTGGTTATACACTTAGGAGTAGCATTCCAGGGTCATGTGATAGAGGTATGATTGGTTTTAGCAGATACTGCCAAATAGTTTTCCAAGGTAGTTGTACCAGTTAACAATTTCACCAGCAATCTATGAGAGTTCCAGTTGTTCCATGTTTTCAGTTCTTGGTGTTGTCAGTCTTTTCCATTTTAGCTCTTCTGGTGGGTTTTGCATATCTCATTGTGGTTTTAATTTGCACTTCCCTGATGAGTAATAGTGATGAACACCTATTTATATGCTTATGAGCCATTTGGATATTCTCTTTTATGAAGTGCCAGTTCAATTCTTTTGTATTTTTAAAAAATTAGACTGATTATATTTTTCTTATTGATTTGTAGGAGTTTAAAAAATGTATGAGTGTAGTGGATATAAGTCCTTTGTTAGATATATATTGTGAATATTTTATCCCAGTCTGTGGTTGGCTTTTCATCCTCTTAAGGTGTAATTAATCTTTTCTTTCATGGTTAATGTTTTCTGTCCTATGGGAAATATTTGCCTACCTAAGATCATGAAGATTTTCTCTGGTGCTGTGATCTAGAAGCTTTGTTGTTTTAACTTTCATATTTAGGCCTATGATTCATTTCAAATCATTATTAGTATTAGTTTGGTATCTGGCATGAGGTAAGGGTCATGGTTCCATTGATTTGTCTGTCCTTCAGCCAGTACCATGCTGTCTTAATTTCTGTAACTGTATAACTAGCCTTGATATCTGGTAGCATATGTCCTTCAATTTGTTCTTCCTGAAGATATTTCAATATTACTAGCCCTTTATGTATCTTTATGCATTTTAGAATCATTTTGTCCAAATTGCCCTTTGGGAGTGGTTTTGATCTTTTTGACTCATTAGTTTTCCCTTTGTCCCTCTAACTTCAAAATCTAGGTAACTTTTTAAAGTGGAGACCGGTGGCCTGTTTGGGGCAGTTCCCCTCTAGAGGGAGAATTTGTCTCTGAAGTACCAGGAGACTGCAGGAGATTTTCCTGTGCCTTTCCTGCCCAGACACCAGCCCAGAACTCAGGTGACTTCAGGTAAGAAAAACTAGCCCTGCATTTTGGGCTTCTCAAGTTTCCAGCCCATTATTTTAGTGTCTCCCAACTGCCAAAAGTTATGCTCATTTCTCCTTTCCTCAGGAGAGTCCTTCTGCTTTACAGTCAAGCTTCATCTTCAACAGTGCCCAGAATTAGCAAATGTCACAGGGAAGGAAAAAAGTCCGATTGTCAGTTCACTTAGAAAGGGCTCTTTGCTCTTTGAAATGTTGGTTAATCTCATCCTTGCTTATCGATTTAGCAATTTATCTTTTTTTTTTGGTGTGTATGGGGGTGTTGTTTTTGTTGTTGTTGTTGCAGGAACGTTCACATCCTGTTTGGAAGCAAAGTCTGCAAATTGTTTAATAGGCTGAGCCTTGATACCCCCATCCCTCTCAGCTCTATCTCAGGTAAGTAGTTTATGAACATTTGGGCCAATTCAGTAGGTCAGTGGAAGGATAGATAATGGATATATCCCTGAACCTCCCAGTCACAGATAGTGGGGATTTCTTAGGGGACTAATCTGCCTAAGTCACATTCAACTTGGAATTCAGCCAGTTTCTAGGGATAGCAAATGACATTAACATTCTCAGTTCTATTTCTGCTTAGGAGAATGAGATGTCAGCTCTGGCCCTGAATAAGGCAGATTTGCTCCTGTAGTCACCTAAATTTGTGCCCTCTAGCATAGGATATTAGAAGTCCGACCTGGGCTGATATCCATCTCTGCACCTTTACTTATGTGCTCATGGACAAATTACTGAATCTCTTTGATCCTCAGTTTTTCCACCCATAACTTCATAGGATGATTTTATTGTGAGGATTAAATGTACTACAGGTTGAGTATCTCTAATCTCAACATTTGAAATACTAAATGCTTCAAAATCTAAAACGTTTTGAGCACCAACATGACACCTTTGCTTTCTGATGGTTTGGAGTACACAAACTTTGTTTAGTGCACAAGATTATTAAACATATTCTATAAAATTATATTCAGGCTATGTGTATAAGGTGTTTATGAAACATAGATGAATTTCATGTTTAGACTTGGGTTCCATTCCTAAGATATCTCATTATGTATATGCAAATACTCCAAAATCTGAAATCTAAAACACTTCTGGTACCAAGCATTTTGGATAAGGGATACTCAACCTGTAATGTAAGAAAAGTGGATTTTACAGTCCTTGATACACAATAGGTCTCCCATTAATGTGACAATTTATTAGAAAATTTTTTATGGGCACATCATTGCATCTGACATATGCTTTCAGAGGCTGGGGATTATGCTTGGTTAATTTTTTGAAGGGAGTAAAATTTACATATAGTGAAATGTACAAATTTTTAGAGTACCATTCAATGAGTTTTGACACATGCATACTCCTGTGTAACCCATGACCTTATCTAAACATGTTCACTACCATCACTCTAGAAAGTTCCTTTATGCCCCTTCCCAATCAGTTCCTACTCCCATAAATGCAACCACTATTCTGATTTTTTTTCTACATAGACTATTTTGCATTTTCTAAAATTGTGTATGGATGGAATCATACAGCATGTAATCTTTTGTGTCTGGCTTCTTTCATTAAGTATAATGTTGATTATTCCTCCATGTTGTTGTCCCTGTCAGTAGTGCCTTTCTTTTTATTGCTTATCAGTATCACGTTGTGTGACTATACAACAGTTTGCTTATTCATTCTCTTCTTGATAGATACCTGAGCTCTTTCTACTTTTTGGTGATTATGCGTACAACTTCTATAGTTATTCTTGTAAAAGTCACTTTGTAAACTTTCACTTCTCTTGGGTAAATACCTAGGAGTGGAATTGCTGGGATATAGATAGGTATATGCTTAGTTTTATAGGAAACTGATGTTTTTCCAAAAACATAATACGATTTTATACTCCTACCAGTAGTATAAATGTGTGTGAGAATTCTGGTTCCTCTACATCTTTGTCAATATTTGATGTTATCAGTCTTTAATTTTAGCCAATCTACTGAGTATATTGTGGTATCTTAGTGTGATGTCAATTTGCATTTCTTTGATTACTAATAATGTTGAGGATATTTTCATGTGCTTATTAGCTCTTCCTTTGAATTGTCTGTTCCGATCTTTTGACCATTTTTAAGTTGGGTTGTTCGTCTTTTTATTATTGAGTTGTAGGGGTTCTTTATATATATATGTATAGACACACACACATATATATATAAATATATATCTGACAGTGAACTTTCAACCAGAATATATATATTCTGTTATATATTTATGTTGTATACATATGTTATATATTTTCAACCAGAATATATATATTCTGGTTGAAAGTTCATTGTCAGATATATATTTTGTGAATATTTTCTCTCAGTCTTTGGGTTGCCTGTTCATTTTATTAACTGTATGTTTTGATGAGTTGGTCCATTTTTGTATCCCCTGTTTCCCACATGCATGATTGAAGCTTGATAATATTTACGGAATGAATGTGCTGAAAGTTGTTCCTCCCTCCCTCCTTCCATTATTTCGTTTTTTTCAAAGACACTTACTGATTACATACTATGCTGGCAAGCACTCTTCTGTTCTTTTGGGATATAGCAGAAAACAAAACAGACAGATTTCTTAGTCTCATGACAATTACATTTTAGTCTATATGTATGTAGGGGTAAGGTGAGAGACAGAAAAACAAATAATTAAACAAGAAAATATGAGGTAGCTATAGATACCATCATGCAAAAATGAAATTTGTGTGTAATGGGAAAGGGATGATTAGGGGCTTTACCCAGGTTGAGGGGTAAGAAATCTGAGGAGGTGATATTAAAGTAGATATCAGAATGACCCGAAGTCCCCACTCCTCCCCCACCAAGGAGAAAGGAATCCCAGGCAGAGGATATAGCTAATAAAAAGTCCCTTAAAGTGAGTTAAGGCTAGGTATAAACTATCCAAAATACCCCTTTAGGCTAGCTGAGGTGTCCAGAGTTGGTTGCTTTGGAAATTACCATAACTGGCATAAGCTGATGCTACACTGTTACTCTTTCTTATTATTGGAATACTTAGCAGTTTCTTCAAGTTTCTTCTTGCCCTCTCCTCACCCTCTAGTTGCTAAGTTCTGAGATGGTTTGAGAATAAAAATGGTGGATCAGCTAATATAAGGGTCAAGAAAGTTAAGGTAAGGTCACTAATTGTTTTTCCCGCCAAAAGCGACTGAGTCCCCCACCCCACAAAAAAAAATCAAGGGCCACAAAAAGTAATAAGTAACTACATTTGTCTTATAAGAGAGCAAAATATGGAATGTTCTACCTCTCTGCTTTTTATGTTTAGGTTGTGTAATGTACAACTCAATAAATACAATAAAAATTTGATGAATCAAATATAATTTATTCCAGTTTTTTCCCAGTTTTAGGAGAGAGATACAAGAAAAGATGATGGAAAAGGGTAAGAGTAGATGGAGATAGAGAGGGCGTGAAATAGAATGAAACACATAGGTGAATAAATGGAAGCATATTGACCAAGAGGAGGAATAAAGGAGTCCCAGAGGAAGATAGAGAAGTTGAGGAAAAAAACTGGGTGAATGGGAAGTCAGAAGTTAAATAGGTTTTGTGTGAGGGTGTTCCTGTCATCTTCTTGTGCCTTTGGGCTGTATATACCATATAGTAGTTATTGCTTCCTTTGAAAAATGTGATGGTGCTCTCTAACAATATTTAACACACATCTTTCTTCTGTGTTTTCCTTCTGATGAGCTGATGCATGTTCTAAATAAATGCCGAATTCCTTTCCTTGATTTCTCTCCATATTTTCTTTCATGAGACGTTTTTCTCTTAAACAAACAGATCCTTTGAATTAATAAAACAAACTGCTCTGCCTCTAGTACCCATTCTCCTATATTCCATATGGAAAGTTGCCTCCAACAAAATCGTGCCTTCTGGTCATTACTGTTGTGACCCTTATCATCAGGGCAAACCCCATGTCTACTGGTAGGATTTGGGACAAAAAAAAATGTAGTGATCTTACAGGATTTATACTAAGTGGAGATAGTATACAACTGAGTGGGTCGAAAAAGGCCCTGTGGAGACCAGCAAGCTCTATGTGCAAATCACAGACCATCTGGCTGATGATTTTCTGTACTCCAATAAATATCCAAGGATTACAGTCAGCTGAAAGTGAAGTCTGTGGCTTGCTGGGCCCCACTCTGGTCAGAACTGCTGAAAACTGGGCAATAATAGACTTGGTAGAATCCTAAAGGAGTTATATAGATGACTACCTCCTAAGGCTTTCAACTAGGAAAAGCCTGACTGGAGCTGGAGAAAGAAAGTTAGCCCAATTTGCAGAATTAATAGCCAGAAATTTAACATGTAGAGATAACCAAGAAAAAAAAAAAAAACTGGCCAAAGGTACATAGCTACACTGATCAGCCATACAGAACTGGACTATTGCAGGAAATACAATCTGGTAAAGGGAGATACGAAAATAAATTTGTGAAAGGAATTTAGAAATTCTTATAAAGACATGTATCAGCTCATCAGAATGGAAAAGCAGAATAATCTATTTGGAATGAGAGGGGAGATAATCTAGGCCCCCAAAACTAATGTATACCCTGAAGTTTTGGGGACTCTAAGTTTCAACTCAGCTCCCTTTTCAGTTCAATTTAAGGTTGTAGGATGGGCTTGTGAAACCTCAGGGCATGTGGGCATGTATGTACCAGGTTAGTAGAGAAGAAAGAGTTAGAAAAACAGAATCAAATAAACAAGTGAGTAAGAAATATGAGATATGTCAAAATACTAAAAACTTCCTGCATCCTCAACAGGTTCACTTTAAGTGTGGTGGGGAGTGGTAAACCACACAAATGTAGCAGGTAGATTATATTGAGTCAATATCTAGATTTTCAAACAAATAATATTGCCTTACACAAGTATGTACTTACTCAGAAAGTGGGTTTGCAAAGAGCCCACCAGAAATGCAGATGAAAATAGTACAACCATAGCTTTAGATAAAGTTGGAAGAACGAGCTGCTAGATATGGAAGAGGGGCAGTAATAGGAAATTATCAAGGAGCTAGTTTTATAACTGAAATTCTCCAAAGTTTGGCAAAATATAGAGAATATAGGACTTTTATTTACCATAAACTCCCCAGGCTGCAGGGCATCTGGAAATTTTAATGAATGGATTCCAAAAAACACAGAAAGAATTCAGCAGCACCAGATATAAATGGCAATGAGGCAAAGGTGCTAATAATTGACAGACCCTGAGTGAGTGTATCCTTCCTCAAATGAGATGTTCAGGAAAGACAGACAAACTGCCTATGCTTACTTTTCTACCAAATCTCTTAACAAGAGATAAAGACCATGAGGTTTTCAAAGGAAAGAGAAGTAGTAGAGCCTCACAAGGCCAGCAACAAAGGAGGGGCTATAGTTAGACATATCATTTCAAGCTTAACGATAATTCTTGATGGGGTAACCAGTAGCTGTAGCCTGTAGGATGGATAAAGGCTCAAAGATACTAATCTTTATATCTCTCTTTTTTATTATTAGGTCTGCTTTGCTGTTTTCTCTTGGCTGTGACAGTCCGCCTGATGGTCATTATAATAGCAGTTCACCACTAGTACAAACAAGAGTACCATATGTAAATTCTGTGCACGGTTTACCAACATCATCAAAAAGTTCTTTTGTTTTACTGTTCTCATTCTGTACTTGATCAGTATCATAATCATATCAACATCTTAATTTCTGGCCTAAACCAACCACAGAACCTTTGTTAGCCCCTTATACTATCCATTGTCACCGAGAGTCCATTTGCTAGAGCTTGTAGTGATATTTTATCTATTTAGAAGAGCACTGCAGCATGGATTCTGTGTCAGTTCCTGTACTCATTGATGGACTTGTTGCTTGTGTAGCCCAGTTAATAAGAATAGCTGATGAGCTTTTACAATTCATTATACAAGTACAAGAAGTTCCTTATGTAGAAGAAAATGGTGGAGCAGAAGAGACTGAAGCAGATGCACCTCTTCCTGAGGAGCCTTCACTACCAGATCTCCCTGATCTCTCAGACTTAGACTCAATACTTACACCAAGAGAGGATGAAGACCTAATGTTTGATATAGATCAGGCTATGTTAGACATGGATAACTTATATGAAGATACAGTCTCTGGTATAAATGATGACTTAACAAGTGACTAAGACCCAATTTCTGCCCCCGCCCCCAGGGATGTGAAAACTGATCATTTCTCTGTTTCAATATATTCTTATTTTCTGTATATTAGCAATATGTGTTTTCTCACAGTTCTGCACATTTTCATTACTAATAACCCATATAGCAAGTAAGATTTGATTTACTTCTAGCAAAAGCTGATCTTTTTTTCCTCTTTGTTATTCAAAAAGTTCTGGCTTTTGCCATGTAGGTCTCCCTTTACCTGTACTTACTCTCATGCTAGAATTTCTGATGATGGGAGCAAACAATAATAAAGAAAAGAAATTCCTCACCCAATTATGGAAGGGAGAACTGACAAACTCTATCACATCTTGGTACTAATTTCACTGCTCTCCAATGAATGGAAATGAAAAGGGGAATATCCCCCAGGGTAGCATCACAGTAAATGAATACATTCACATTAACAAGACAATGTTGGGATGCTTTTATTTGAAAGGATATAACTCCTAACTTATCCTTTTAGAGAGCATGTGTCCAACTAAAAATGCTATAGCAGACTAAGGGAGGTAATTTTAAAAGAGCACTATCTACCAGATAATAAAAGTGCAGAAGGGTTTTCAAATGGCTGTTGCCAAGGAGAAAACTGAAAAAGCTGGGACCAAGAGTTCCAATGCAGGACTGTTCTTGCACATTCTGACCACATTGCAGCTACTTTGCACTGTTATTCCCCAAATGGAAAAGGCACACTATACCAAATAATCAAAGAGAGAAGTAATAGAAGGGCTAAGGAAAGCCCTACAAGGATTATTCACCAATGGAAAGACAAACACTCACCATATTGGACTAGATATCTGTGGACTAGATATAGTCCTTAGGCATCAAAGCAGGACGATGCTACAACCTTATAATATGTGGAGCTGGCTGGCCCCTTGTTTGCCTGGGTCACCTGGACAGATTGTACTGTAACGGTACCTCAGGAACTAGATAAGATATATTCCAGTGTTTGCCTTGATTCTGTAATTGTATGTAATTTATCCGCACTGGATGTGGATAAAATATATCTTCCTGAATACAGCTTAATTTAAAAAGAATAGTTAATAGGCTTATTACAGTGAATCTGCTGCAACCTCAGCCCAGAAATATTTACTGTTGAGAGATAGGTACAGTAATGAATTTAGATAAAATATGGGTTGGTATTTAGCCACAATAATTTTGCATATGCCAGAAGGGGAAAATGGAATAGCTGAAGGACCCACAAATCAAAACAGAAAGAGACGAAATAAATATGCAGGAAATTTACTGACCATATCAATTGCATGCCATACAGTACCCTCATTTTTATTTGGAAAAATAGCTACCTTTTAGACAAGCCCATGGACACTATGGCCCTCCTTCCTAGAGAATGACCATTGCATCTCATGACATGGGCAACAACTAGGTAAAGATATAAAGGTATATCACTAGACAATGTGTTATATACAAACTGCAAAGAAATGAGATGTAGAAGGAAATCCACACTGGTGGAAATTGGACTATAGCAATTCATATAAAAGCCTAAAGCATATAGTCAAAAGGATTAAAATGATATTTAACACAGATGACTTCAGAGCTAATCTTTGCAAATCAGAGTTTATGGAACTATTCAACATATTAATATGAGAACTTTCTACAATAGACTACTATGTGAAAGGATTGATAAGAGTAGGTGAAGATTCAGGAGACTTAGAGGAGCAAAGAAAAACACAAATAGGAAAAATAAAAATTATATCATAAAACAACAACTGGATAATTAAAATCCACATGGGATAGCAGATTGAGGGATTTTACTGCCACAATCACTGGACAAACTGAATCTTACTATCTCGCTTTCCCAGTATAGGGGACTCTAGATATGCAGTTATGTCAAAAACGGCAAATAATTGATGGAGTACAAAGTGACTATGCCAAATTAACCTAAATAGAGTAGTGGGAAAGCAAGGTGAAACAGTTTATCACTCCATTCCATTAGGAACAGTTTTACACAGTTAAACAAGAAAAGTTATACATTTAGTAAATAAGAATAAAAATATGAGAACTAGATAAAAGTTAAAGGAACCTTTGCTTTAATTATAGCTTCAGAAACAGCCAGGGAAGATACACACTCCCCACAAGGATTTGGGACTTTAGGAAACTGGGCTATAATTTTGTGTCACAATAAAACTCAAAGCATAAATACCTGGACAATATCAGAGAACACATCCAAGGAGAAGCCACCAGTCCGCTACAAATTTTATTTGGTGAGCAGTTTAACTGTAGCAGGACAGACCTGGTGCTCTTAAACATGATAGATCCCAAAAGGTAGCTATTCCTCCGAGTAGAACTTTGGAATATGGACTTTATAACAATTCTACAACAGATTAATGTAAGCTTGTTAAAACTGTTAGGGTATTACAAGAGAACACAAGTAACCATACTAACTCAAGGAGGTTATGAAACTACATCAAGAGAAATCCGTGAGACTACTCTAGACCTTGAAACAGGACAAAGATTTGAACCAGCCCATAAGACAGCCTGTAATGTTTAATATAGTCCTTAGGCATCAAAGCAGGAACGTGCTACAACCTCATAATATGTGGAGCTGGCGGGCCCCTTGTTTGCCTGGGTCACCTGGACAGATTGTACTGTAACGGTACCTCAGGAACTAGATAAGATATATTCCAGTGTTTGCCTTGATTCTGTAATTGTATGCGCTTAAGGATTGTTAAGATATGACCCCTGCTCCAAGGAATGGATTGTTGTATTAAGTATGTTTTCTCTATGGAACAGAATTAGAGTTAATAGTGAAAAGAAATGTTTAGGAAATAAGACAATACTTAGGAACAAGAACTAGCGGGGATGATGTTTTCAGGAGAGAGAAGCAAATTAATAAATTGTCAACAGTTATGCGACTGTTTACGATGGAAAGCCATGATATGGAGTTAGTTTCTAAACAGGTTTATGACCAAAGCCCTGTTTTTGTCTTCTGCAAATTAGCCAACCCTAAGATGTTGCTATAAATAGCTGGTAGGCGATTGACATAAGTCGTGTATCTGAAAGCTCAATTAGATGGAGAATTATTAACTAGTTTAGTCCACTGATTGGATATCTCTGATTGAAATCCTGCATCTCCTCCAGGAGAATGGAGTGAGTGGCTGATCCTTTATGCAAATTAGCCCTTTTCTGTATCTTCTTAAGACCAATGCTAAAGCCAATTATTATATAGCATGGCAGAAAAGAGAGGGGCTCATCATTCTGAGACAAGCTTAAAGGTGTGAAAATCAAGGAAGATAGGCTGGTAGATGGCATTAGATTAGGTAGTACAAGTTTTCACCCTGATTTGCTTGGGCTAAAATATGTGGGGAGTTGTGCCTATATAAATTCTTATGTGTGATGATTACTGCTAGTTATTATCTTATGATTGTTTAAAATCTGTATTAGCTATTGATCTAAACCATTTTATTGTTTTCTTTCAAGAGATTTTAACTAATAAACTTTCATTCACAAATCAAAAAAGGTGTGGTCATCTTAAAATACCTGGTGGTGAATTTGGAGGCTACCAAATAGGCACACAAGAACTTCACTCAACATAAGGTAGCAGAGCATAATAAGAGAGAATGTTGTACTAGGAGTCTGAAGTTCTACTTCTGGCTTTGTCAGATGATCTTAAACAAATCTCTAAACATAGTCCTTTCTCATTTGCAAAATGAGGGTTATTAATAAATTTTCTGCTTACCTTCAGTGATAATAAGGAACAATTGAAATAATGGTTTTCATGGCATGACATATCTGACATTGAGACAATATGTGAAATCAGGACTTTTCAGGAATATCTGAAAAATGTGCATGCATATATTCATTGCAGCACTATTCACAATAGCAAAGACATGGAATCAACCTAAATGCCCATCAGTGATAGACTGGATAAAGGAAATGTGGTACATATACACCATGGAATACTATGCAGCCATAAAACAGAACGAGATCATGTCCTTTGCAGGGACATGGATGGAGTTGGAAGCTATTACCCTCAGCAAACTAAAGCAGCAACAGAAAACCAGAAGCCACATGTTCTCACTTATAAGTGGGAGCTGAACAATGAGAACACATGGACACAGGGAGTGGAGCAACACACACTGGGGCCTGTTGGGGGCTGGGGTGGGGAGAGGGAGCATCAGTAATGGATTCCCAGCTAATGGATGCTGGACTTAATACCTAGGTGATGGGTTGATCAGTGCAGCAAACCACCAAGGCACATGTTTACCTATGTGACAAACCTACACATCCTGCAAATGTACCCCAGAACTTAAAAATTAAAAAGAAAATTCACCCATCTGCAAAAAAAAGTTTGTATGACAATACCTGAAAGTCTATTTGACATGAAATAATTATCTAATAGTTTTACACCTGTTTTCTAAGAGATTAGAGCTTTCTTATTCTACTTCATGCCAAAGTTAGAGTTAGGAAATCAGCTATTGTTTCATTCTTTGGAGCTTTTTTGTTTGTTTGTTTGTTTGTTTTTACCAAACTGAATTCTTTTGGGGAGTCTACTTGAGTTCTAGTAGGAATAACAATGAGGAAAAAAACAGTATGAAAAAGCCCTTCAGGAAATAATGAATTATATTCCATTCAAGGCTAAGATTTTGTTCCTGAGGGGGTTATGTAACTCTGAACGTTATTAACCCACTATGATCCAACTTGATTTTTATGATTTTTGTTGTGTTTTTGTACTGACAGTCTTATCTTAATAGACTAGATGTACTTACTGATTCCTCTTGGGAATATTTCTTATATTTTTTTCAGAGATCCTACTCTCTCCAGCCCGTATTTAAAACTGAGTTTCTTCTGTCTCTTTAACCCTCAGTAAGCTCACAAACCAACCAACCAACCAACAGAAAATCCCTAAAGAAATAAAAAATAACTTCTAGTTCCTGAAGTTAGTTATTTGTGAATTACTTGTATTGATAAATAAAACTGTCGGCTTCCAATATCACATCTCTTCAGGGTAATAAATAATCCTTGAAGGTGATTGCCATTATAC